CTTTGGTTTTCTTCATTCTTCTTTGCTTTGGACGAGGAGAGACCCATTGTTGCATCTAGATGGCTGCTTGCAAGCTTTTAAGATAGAAGTTGCTACTCGCCAAAGTAGGAGGTGGAACAATGTTTTGTGTAATATGTTATGCCATGTTTGGACATTTTTTAAGAAGCACGATTCATTTTGTAGAGAAGGAAACAAATGAATGTGGTCCCATTACTGGCTTAGCCCAACAGAGTGCTAATTTCAAAGATGCAATGAAGACCTCCCTGTCCTGTTCAGACCCTCCCTGGGCCCACTTGCTGAGGAGGTGAGTGTTCCTCACCAGGCAACCTTGTCACAATGCTCTGATTCAGGGCTGCCCGTAGGGTGTCACACAGCAGGGAGACTATGTGAGGCTCTCACCCTGGGGATTGATAAAGGCATGGTTGGAGAACCCAGGAATTATTGCAGGAGGTGAGGTCACTCAGACCAAAAAATAAGTCTTTGCAAATGCCATCCAGCTTCTCTGGTCACTGCTAGTTTAGGTGTGTGATGGTTAATTTTATGTGTCAACTTGGGTACGCTGGTGTCCAGTTGTTTAGTCAAGCACTGGTGTAGTTCCTGTTATGGAGTTGTTACATGCAATTGAGTCAGTCGGCCTGGGCAGGGCAGATGAATTTCCCTAATGTAATCAAAGATTGGGCAATATAATTCCATAGTGATACTGCCTCAGAAACCCAAGGAGGGGTCGCTATGAGTTGGATTCAACTCGATGGCAGTGAGTTTGTTTTTTGGTTAATGTAATTGAGTGCAATGTTGAGCAATCAGTTGAGAAGGGAGTTTCCATAAGATGTGTTCTGCTTCCAATCTACGGATACTTTGACAGAACTCACACACACACACCAACAGGGGAAGGCAGACACCTTAAGAGGTGTCTACAAACTAAGGAACACCAAAGAACCAAGGGCTGCTGACAAGGAAGGGATCTACCTGGCCGATGATTCGGCCTCTGGGACTGTGAGAACATACATTTCTGATCTTTAAAGCCACTCGCAGCACTGGGTAATGAGGAAGACAGGTCTCCATGTGGACAACTCTACACCAGAAGGTAGGAAGCTCCTTGTGGGCAGGACAAGATCCTGTTGTTTCTACACCCCTAAGATCTCTCTGTCTGTCTGTCTCTCTTTTTTTTTTTTTTTTTTGAACTTTTTATTGTGGTTTGGGTGGAAGTTTACTAAGCAAATTGGTTTTCTTTTCAATAAAAAACATAACCAAACTCACTGCCATCAAGTCCAGTCTGACTCATAGCACCCCTCCTTGGGTTTCTAAGGTGGTATCTCTATGGAAGTAGATTGCCCAATCTTCCTTCTGAGGAGTGGTTGGTGGGTTTGAACTGCCAACCTTATGGTTAGCAGTCAACCTCCTTGGGTTTCTAAGGTGGTATCTCTATGGAAGTAGACTGCCCAATCTTCCTTCTGAGGAGTGGTTGGTGGGTTTGAACTGCCAACCTTATGGTTAGCAGTCAAATGCCTTAGGCACTACGCCACCAGAGCTCCCTTCCTTTCAATAAAATGCACGTTTTGTTTTGTGATTCACTGCCATCCCCACTCTCCCCACTCCCTCTGTGGTTACCATTTCCCTGTGTCCATCTTTCCTATCCCTTCCTGCCTTCTGAGCTTTATCCCTGAACAAATGCTGCCATTCGCTGGTTGTTCGAAGCAGTGCATACCTCTCTGGTGTTACTGTTCACCTTATAGGGCTGTCTATTGTTTGGCTAAAAGTTGAGCCACTGGGGTGAATTCAGTTCCAGTCTTGAAGGGTGTCCAAGGGCCATAGTCTTGGTAGTTCTACCACTCTCTAATCAGACCAGTAAATCTGTTCGTTTTGTAATGATTTTGAATCTTGTTCCACATTTTCTCCCCCTCTAGCTTCCTGTCGTGGTCCCTCTCAGAGTGGCAGCAGTGACAGCTAAGCGGCATTAAGTTCTCCTGGTCTCAGGGCTGTGGAGGCTGAAGTTCGTGTGATCTGTTAATCCTTTGGACCAACTGTTCCCTTGTATCGTTGATTTTCTTCACTCTTTACTCCACATGGGGAAAGACAAATACTGGCACCTTAGATGACCTTCACAAAGTTTTCAAACCCTGGTCACTACTCACCAACAGAGGATGTAAAACATTGTCTTTGTAGACTATGTTACGTCAATTGACCTTGATGTCCTCTGAGACTATAGTCCTGAGCCCCAGGCCCAGTGACTCTTTCCCTCAAGGTCTTTGGTTATGGCTAAGAAGTCTTTATAACTTTACCCCCTGTATGTTCTCCTGCATTCATGGATATATTTGCAGCACATATAAATACATATGTAGAAATATCCTCTGTCAGACTTGTATATTGTATCTCATCCCACCCTGACACTCAGCCATAAGAGTTCATTGCTGCCCTTCTTGATGGTTAGGCTCTGGTCAGGGTTACTCACAGCTGCCCTACCCATCCTTGTGAAGGAGATTTCACCTGCATATAAAAGTAGGCAAAGAGACAGGTGTATGTGCCGGGATGAGCAGCCCATAGCCTGTGGCTACCTGGCTCAGAGCCTGGCGAGAAACCCAAGTCCAGAATGAAAACCTAGGAAGCTGTTTTCTTGTTGCTCATCCTCAAGCCAGCCCACGCATGGATCTCTCAGCGGCTACAAGCCTGTTCCACCTCAGGTTTTGGTGAGATTCTCCCTTTCAACAAACGATAATCTCCGATGGAAGATTACACGTCCTTGTTCTCCCTGCCTCTCCTGCCGTGGTACAAAACAAAGGGATTTTTAATTTTGAATGAAAAAATGTGCTTTTTTAACATTATTTTTTCTCATTTGACCTTTATCCCAAACAGATTCTTATGCTTCTTTCAGCACACCCCAGGGTGGGCAGACACCACGGGCTGCATGCCTTCAGACGTGTCACCAAGCTCTCTCCATTCAGATGACCTCAGATTGCCCAAGCCTAAGCTGGCTCCACATGGATATTTTGCATATGGTGGCTTCCTTGTGACTCAACCCGGTTGTTCTCAGAATTTCGCTGTGTACTTCTGAGTGAGGCATCTGGTCCCCAGCTGTTTGTTGTCCTCGGCTGATGGTGGTGGCCTATCATCCTTCCCTTTTGAATGTCAGGCTGTGCCCAAGAACCACTATCTCCTGAGTGTCCCCAGTAGTTCTGGCCTTTAGATCTCCTCTGCATTTCTCGGTACACGGGCTTTGCCCTAGGAGCCCCCTGCCCACAAATTCAACACCCCTCCCACCCAGAATGGCCCCAGCCCAGCCAACCTCTCCTGACAGTGTCCCTGCCATGTTCCCTTCCCAAGGGAGGCCTGAGAGCTGGGTTGGCACAGATGACACAGCTGTCTGGCCTGGAAGGTGGATGCTGGAGCACCATGGAACCAACCCAGGGCTGTCTGTCTCCCTGGCTGAGCTCCCCGGACCTCGCCTTCTCCCTTTGTGGCCTTGAGGCCCACTCAAGCCTGCCTGCCCTTACAGTAGGGGCCGATTACCCAATAAGCAAGGCAAGTATGGGCTTACTTGTGTTTACTACTAATCTGTAGTGAACAATTTCACATTTTTTTTTTTTGGCCACATCACAGATTCTACTTCTAGGTATGGCTGGCACCTATCTCTCTCCTACACTCATAGCACCTCTGTATAGAATCAAAGCCTCTTCTCAAATTTACAGTCCCTGACAGGGATGGAGTATCCAGTGAGCAAGGTAAGCACAGGCTCCTTTGTGCTAACTTACTAATTTATATTCACTATAGATGAGTCAGTTAGAACAAGTAAGCCTGTGCTTACCTTGCTCACTGGGTAGTCTGCCCTTGCTTGGTAGTGCCCAGCCTTGTCTTTTCTTGAGCTTCTGTCAGCCATGGCCAGTGGAGTCCATTTGGCTTCAAAGTTTTTCCTAGCTGACAGGTCCTTTACTATGTCTGTCTATGCTGAAAGCCCTAATGGGTGGTTACTAGGCTGGCACCTGACACTTGACTGCTTCAACAGTCAGTAAGAGCTCTTTCACCAGAAACACCTGACAGGAGCTTTTTGAGCTTTCTATTTCGTTCTTTCCAAATTTAAATAAGGAAGTAAGCCAACATTCAGGTTGATGGTGTCCCTTAGTGACATCTCAGTTGAATTTAGTTGACGGAGTCTAAATCAGCTTCTCAGACTCTCCATGATGAAGGGCCACTCTTTTTCTTTTTTTTTTTTAATTTAAAATTTAAAAAAACTTTTGCAGTGTTTTCTCCCCTCCCCTCCCACCCCTGGTAACCAACAAAGAAACTTCCATATATAAACCTTTCCTTGACTTTTTACAATAATGAACTAATACAATATTTATCCTTTTGTGATTGATTTATTTTACTCAGGATGAAGGGCCATTCTTTAAAAGTTTTCTCTAATTAATTGTAGACTGATACCTTTGCAAAATACAACAAAAATGAATTACTAAGAAAATAAAAGACAACATAAAACACAAGCACGAATTTCTGGATTTAGACAAGATTTCTCTGGCAAAATGGTGTAAAAATGTCTAGACACGCTCCCTTTCTGTGTTTCTCCAATCATGAACCAGGTAATAAACAGTTTGAGGATGGACACAGGCCCCTGGACTATACTTCGAGTAGCACTGATGGAGATTGCTACTTTAATGCCAGGGCTCCACATGTCTAATTTAGCCCACTTCTTTGAGAGAACACAGCATTCTGGGCTCTTGTCTACTCATCCTAGTTTGGCCTGAAGCATGTGACTAACCTTTACTGGTTTATCCCAGAGCATGCCACCTCAGCTTGGTAATACACACCTGTTCACAACCCTTGCTGCTAATGGGCGCCACTCTCTCTAAGTGTCCCTAGAAGAGGCTAGATGCTATGCTCTTCCGTTCTTTTACCCAGGCCCCACCTACCATTCGTATAAATGCTCTTCTGTCAACTGCTGCCTGAAGGGCCCTGCTTGGCTCCCAAGCGCTGCTAGGGGTCAGGGGAACAATGGTACTCAGCCTACTCACCAGTGTCATTGGGATATTTGTCCCCATGGGTGCATGTCCTCCCGTCGTCCTCTTGGATGTAGCCCTCCTTGCACTCACAGCGGTAGCTGCCTGGGGTGTTGATGCAGATATGGGCACAGAGTGTCTCATTGCTGGTGGCACACTCATCGATATCTGGGTTCAAACAGATGCAGAGAGCACTTCGAGACAGTTTCAGAGAATTCACTTCCCACCCAACTGCTGCCATTAGGCTTGGCTCCACAGTAGCATGTCTGCAAAGGACATTGCCTGACCTCTACCCAAGAAGCCTGGGGTAAAGCAGGAAGCTACTAACATGGGCCATTCGTGGAGAAAGCACTCAGGCAGTTTCTACCATGATTACAAACTGATCGAGGTGGGTTTGCCTGTGGTTCCGCCATTACCCAGTCATGGAGCATAAAGCCTGTACTGCTAGAGTTCAAAGTTCTCGCCTATAAAACAACGATAAGGAAGGCTGCCTTAAATCCTTCACAGGGCTTCTTAGAAGATAAAATGAGATAACAGATGGCAACACACTTTGACAAGTAAACATTATAAAAATATTTTTTTTTTTTTTTTGCAATCACCCTAGTGCACTGTGCATTTTTACGCTTCCCTTTATGGTTGTAGGTTCCAAGCAGCATGATGGTGACCCAAGGTCACTTAGAAAGGGCTCCTTCCCAGTGAAGAGACATGATTGTACCTGGGAAAAGCCACTTCTGATAAAAGCAAATAGTCATCATGGGTGTAATGGAGAGAGTTTTTCCCAGGAAATTTTTGCCTCATCAATGACCCAAACAGACTCTGTGAGCTGAGGAAATGAGCCATGAGACCATCAAACAAGCAGCCATTAAAAGTCCTTGTTTTCTGTGCACATCACAGACTTGCTCCCCTGCTGAATGGGGTGGAAACAAAATGTTCCCACCAGGTGATGAGAGGGAGGCACAAATCTGTTTCATGTCCACTGGCTGAAGACACCAGGTGGCAGAGGATGGGAAATGGGACATGCAGCCCCAGGCTGTGCATAGGAATTTAGGATGCCAACAATTCCCAGCCACTCCCTGGACAAGCTGCCAAGGACCTACCTTTGGCAGCCCTGTACCAAGAACGTGAGAGCATTTGTATGCTCCTGGCAGTGAGCATCAAGGAGCTCTGGTGGCATAGTGCCTAAGGCATTTGACTGCTAACCAGAAGGTTGTTTGTTCAAACCCACCAGCCACTCCATGGAAGGAAGACTGGGCAATCTACTTCCGTAAAGATTTACCACCTCAGAAACCCAATGGGGTTTGCTATGAGTCGGAATTGACTTGACGGCAGTTATTTTGTTTTTTCTCTTTGCTTGGTAGTGAGTACCAGGGCATCTGTAGACCAAGATGTTATGGCTATCTCCTCCTAAGTAGGTCCTAGTCTTACTGCCTTTCTTCAGGTCCCTAAACCCTGAAGGTGAAGCTGCCTATGTTGTGCAGAGGAGGGAGGAAACGTTGACATGGGAGATCAAATTAGACGACAGAAGTCTTAGCAGAACCAAGTTCTATGGGTCTTCACACTCCCATATGAAAAGAGCAGTGTGAGTAGTTACTACAAACTTAAGAGCCTTGTACATGGGCCCTGAGCATTATGGAGACTTATGCACCATGCTCTTTGGAGGAGAGGTTGTGGGTCTCCTGCCTCATTCACTTGGTGGTCTCAAAGCCATTTTTCATGAGTGTGGGGACCATCCCAAGTACCATGGCTAGAACTACTCTTAACTGGGACTGACTAGACTGCTGGTGGGGCAGGGAGGGAGAAGGTGGTATTCACACTACTCATTTCCCTCTTGGGTTAATTTGCACTCTACTCAGACCCTTCTCCTGATATCTTGCAGAGTTCCAGATCCTTGGAGTTGTGATTCACTAGTTCTGGAGGGAAGACTAGGGATCTTTTTTAAAAAACAAGACCCCCAAATGTTTCTGAGACAGGTTAGCCACGGACTGACTACACTTTGAAACATGTGGCTCCAGGGGACAATTAGCCATAAACTTGCCTCAGAAATGCAAGGCATCCATGGTTGGGCAGCCCGGTCAACGAGGGGGAAGGGAACCAGCTGGCGGCAACTGATGGTGTTGACTCTTCCCAGCTGCAGCCCAGGTGGCTGGCTTTCAGTGCCCTCTGACTCACTTCTAACCTGTCTGCCATATGGGCCCTTCCTCCTCCTCCAGGCTCTTTCTCTGGTCTTCTGAGAGAACGCTTTTCCTCTTTGAGTTCTTTCTGCATTTTTACTTTCAAGACCATTTATATTCTGTTTCACATCATTCTAACTGACACTTGTTAACAGCCCCTTCTCCTGCTCTGACAGCTCACTGCCAGTTACCATCTGAGTGGTATTGACTCTGAAGAATTCCTAGGTCATAGTTGGTTTTTAATGTTTTGTGACATATCCAAATTATTATTTCTTAAACTGTTGTGATGTAGATAGCCAACAAAACATTTTTAGTCTTCAGAGTGACATCAGTTATATTCATCATCTTGTTCAACCATCACCATTAACTCTTCCCAATTCTTCCATCACCCTGAACAGATAGTAGACGGGTTTTTCTTTTAATAAGCATCATAGAAGGTGGTAGTCCTGAGCACAGCACTAAACACAACTTCATCCAACAAATATCAGAGCTTAAAGGGAGAAATCAAGATTACAACTGCTATGGGGGTTTGGTATCGTAGTGCCTAAGGCACTTGACTGCTAACCAGAAGGCTGGTGCTTCAAACCCACCAACCACTCCTGGGAAGGAAAGTTGGGTGGTCTACTTCCGTAGTGATACCACCTCAGAAACCCAAGGAGGGGTTGCTATGAGTCGGGTCTGACTCGAAGGCACATAACAACAACAACTGCTGTGGAAGCTGGTCACACTGATGAAGAATGGCCAACAGGACAGAACCACCTGACCGAAGCATAGCCTCAAGAGCTGGAAGAGAATGTTATTGCCAACACACCGAGGCAGTACGGCTTCTCCCGCTTCCGGTGTCTCTCTCGGTCATATCGGTACCCTGGGTAACAAGTGCACAGCACTCGGCCGAAATTATCTGTGCACTGCTGTTCACAGGGAGCCTCTGCACAAACGTCATAGTCTGCAAAAACAAAGGTGAGCTCACATCAACCATGGCTGTTCACTGGGGGGGGGAGGGGGGCGGAGCTATCAAGCTCTGGTCCAGAATCGACACTGGCTGGACTCTGCTCTCCGGCAAGTGTGAAGTGTGAATGACTACACTTGTCCTTAGTTGTCCTAGAGTCAGCTCCAACTCATGGCGGGCGACATTATCTAACAATGAGTGTTGCCGGTCCTGGGCCACCTTCATGACCTTAGGTATGTCTGAGTCATTGAGGTGGAACTATGTCAATCCATCTCAACGAGGGGTTCCTTCGTTTTTGCTGACCCTCTAGGGCCATTCTTCTTTTAGGGTTGTCTAAGTGCCCAGCAATGGGTAACTTAACGCATAGTATCAAAACCAAGCACTGCTTGCGATTCCCCTTTAGGTCACCTCACTGTCCTTTAGTGTTTGTCCCTCACCCACAGAGCAAAGATGCTTCAGGTGGCCAGGCTCTGCAGTGGATCTGGGGGACGGGGCTGTTGTTTTTCTCACCAACTACTCTAGAGAGAGAAAATCCTTCCAGCTGAACATTAAAGACCAGGCTGCCTGGGGATGGGCACTGGAATCATAATGTGGGAGTTGGGGCTGGAAGTCAGGCAGGCTCAGAGCAGGGGCAGGGAGGCGATGGAATGGAAATGTGTGTGAGCTATTAGGGAGCTGCTCTGTGTGTGCTTGGGAGTGTGGTCTGTGTGCACTGCACGGGGTCATTCCACATGCTGAGAGGGGCTGGGTGTGTTCCAGTGGCTCGAGATCTCCTTTCAGCCCTCTGTCTCTGCCTTGTGCAAATTAGGGGGACACTTTATCACTGGGAATGCATTAGACATCCCCTCCTCTCGTGCTCATGAACTGATGCTTACTGGGCCTCTGAAGGGACTCTGGCTCTAAACCAGGAGCTAGGCCTGCACATTCCCTCCTGGACCAGATCCAGGCAATCATTAATCACTGTGCTGTCTCCCCCAGGTGCTGACAGATAAACTATCCTTGGCCACAGGCGAGCCTGGCTTTGCTCTGCTGCATATGAGGTGGGATGGGTGGGCTGTCAGCCACTGACGTGGGCAGGCTCGGTGTGACAAGGATCCTGCCATTCTCAGGATGACCTGGAAAGCTGGCCTGGCTCAATTTTCCTCTCCATAACTGAGCTCTAGTGGCACTCTGGTTAAAGCATTGGGCTGCTAACCAAAAGGTTGGAGGTTCGAACTCACCAGCCACTCACCGGCCACTCCACGGAAACAAGGTGAAGCAGTCTGCTTCTGTAAAGATTGATAGCCCTGGAAACCCTATGGGGCAGTTCTACTCTGTCCTAAGGGTTGCTATGAGTTGGAATCAACATGATGGCAGTGGGTTTGGTTTGGTTTTAACTGGGCTTCTAGGCTGGACATTCTGACCATCCCTATAAACTGTCCCTGGTCAAACGTGTCCCTCAGGTAAGCATGACCTCAGGCAGCCCAGTTCTGTACTCTCTTTGCTCAAGAGCAGAGTCTCAGCCATGGTGGCTACAAGCAGCCCTGCTCAGCCCCGTAGCCATCATCCAGCAGAGGCCTGGGAAAGGAGGAACAGGATGGGTAGAAAGGCCATCCAAGTGCTCATGTGAATATGGTGTCCAACAGAGCTTAGTTCAAAAACAACAGCCCCTGAAGTTCCCATCATTCCTGATTCTTTAAATATTGCCCTCCACAGTCCCTAAATAGCTGATATCTTTTATTTCTGCTTTAAGTACTCTCCTCTGATTTCCAGGAGCCCCTGAATGGTGCAAATGGTTAACATGCTTGAGTGCTAACTGAAAGTGTGGCAGTCAAGTCCACTCATAGACATCTTGGAAGAAAGGCCTGGTGAGCTACTTTTGAAAAATCAGCCGTTGGAAACCCTGTGGAGCACAGTTCTACTCTGACCCTAAATGTCCTAGCATCTCTTATCATGTCCCTATCCTCTTACCTCTGTGTTTTGTTTATTCTATTTTCACCTCTTATAACTAATTTCCAGTCAACCCTGCTTCTTTTCTCATAGCACTTCATAACTGTTGATATCCTATCCAGTTTTTCAAGCGGGAATGAAAACACCACCTCCTTCAAGAAGCCCTCTTTGGTTTCCTCAACAGACTTTAGTTTCTCCAACCTATCGATACCCACAGGCTCTATACACTTCATAATCACATGTTCTGCCACATTTATTGAACTGCCACTCTGTACCAAGCCCAATTCTTTTTTTTTTTTTTAATTTTTCTTGTGATTTAGGTAAAAGTTTACAGAGCAAATTCATTTTCCATACAGCAGTTCATACACATTTTGTCTCATAACATTGACTGTAATTCCCCACAATGTAATAGCTCTCTCTTCCCACTTCCTCCCCATAGTTACCTCTTCCCTGTGTCCTTCCCTCCTATGCATTCCCATCCCCTGAGCTGTCTCCCTGTGAAAACACTGTCGTACTGCTCTCCCATGATTGATCACTCCAAGTCATGTATCTACCTGATGTAAATGTTCACCCCATATGCCTGTCTATTATTTGGCTGGAAGCCACAAGAGTGAGTTCAATTCTATACCTGAAGGGTAGCCAGGACCAGGCCCAATTCTAAAAGGCAAGAAGGCTCGTGGTGAAGAGTCAGATTCTGAAGCCACCCCTCCTGGGTCTGTCACTATCTCTGTGATCTTGGATTCCTTAAGCCTTAATTGACTCAACTGTAAAATAAGGTAAAGATCAACTCCACACTGCTTTGATGAAGATTAAATTGGATGATACGTTAAAGGACAGTGCCTGACATACAGCAGCTCGACCTGCTGTCCTGCTTCTTTCATTGCTACAAAACATCTAGGCCTACAGCAGTCTTTTGACCGAATACCTGGCGGGGACTGCGTCCTTGGAGTAATTAGCACAATTATAGCTCATGATAAGTGCAGAAAAGATTGATATTGTCAAGGATTTCATTTCATTTGGATCCACGATCAACTCCCATGGAAGCAGTAGTCAAGAAATCAGAAGACATATTGCAAATCTGCTGCAAAAGACCTTTTTAAAGTGTGATAGAGCAAAGATTCACTTTGAACACTAAGTTGTGCCTAGCCCAAGCCATAGTATTTTTAGTAGCCTCATATGCATGTGAGAGCTGGACATGATTAAGGAAGACCAAAGAAGAATTAATGCATCTGCATTGCGGTGTTGGCGAAGAATATTGAAAATACCATGGGCTGCCAGAAAAATGAACAAATCTGTCTTGGAAGAGGTATAGCTGGAAGCCTCCTTAGAAGTGGGGATGGCCAGACTTCATCTCATGTACTTTGGTCCTATTGTCAGAAGGGATCAGTTGCTGGAGAAAGATATCATGCTTGGTAGAGAGTCAGTAAAAAAGAGGAAAACCCTGAACAAGATGGATTGACACAGTGGCTGCAACGATGGACCCACGCTTAACAACAACAAAAACTGTGAGGATGGCGCAGGGCCGAGCAGTGTTTTGTTCTGTTGTACAGAGGGTCACCATGAGTTGGAACGAACTTGACGGCACCTAACAACAACAACACAGCTTACTTGTTGAACTGAAACAAGTCAGATCATCCGGTCACCTGGCCTTTCAAGATGAGACTTATAGCAGGAGTCAGCAGACTTTTCTTGTGAAGAGCCAGCCAGGAAATATTTTAGGCTTTGCAGGCCATAAGGAGTCTGTTACAGCTACTCAACTCTGCTGTTCTAGTGTACAAGCCACCACAGACAATTTGTAAATTACTGGTTGTGGCTATGTTCCAATAAAACTTCATTTACAAAAACAGGCGATGAGCCAGATTTGGACTGTGGGTCATGGTTTGCCAGCCTCTGATTTAGAACAAGAAGTAACACCTTTAAATTATAGCAAATACTCATTAGTTAGCACACTAGTTAGAAACTGTAGTCTCTTTTTACCATCTTTCCTGAAATCCTAGATTTATCCTTTGTGTTATTGCGTGATAGAAAACTTTATAACTAAAGACATAATTGAAACAAATAAAACCAATTAACATATTTATACAGATTAATCAACTTTTAACAAAGTTCTAAGAAAGGCAATAGAGCAGAGAGTTGGTTACGGCCAAGCACCTTTCAACCCTTGAGCCACTTTTCCTGGAAATATTCAGTCCTAGCCTATAGTGTTGTGGTAATCATGGGTGCTGTATTGTCACACTGGGGAGAAGGAGACTGGTTTTAGGCCTAAACATTTGAAACCAAAATATTTACAATTGAAAGGAACTCTAAGTATGTGGTGCCATGTAATGTTTTTAATAAGGTTGGGCAAGGACTTTAGTTGGGACGATAATGTAATCGCCTAAAAATTTTCTATTGGTAAAGGACACAGCTGGTGAATGAAGAAAGCTCATTTAGAAAGGAATGCAATTAGTTTGCACTTTCGTGTCTTTTTGCCAACATGCTCTAGGCCACAGAATTGGCTGGCAGGGAGAAAGTCAGTCTTAAGACCCAAGGCCAGATGTGAAGTGATTTCCTAACTGGCCTTCTGATGGCACCTCTCTGCCATGGATCACAGCTATGGTTTAATGAACTCTTTCATCCCTCCACTGAAGACAGCAATAAACAGGCGTAATTCATTCATTTATATCCGATACAGAAAGAGATGCACTCTGTTTTTGTTTTTGTTAGGTGCTATCAAGATGATTCTGATTCATAGTGACACCATGTGACAGAGTGGAACTGCCCCATAGGGTTTTCTAGGCTGTCATCTTTATGGGGGAAGACCCCCAGGTCTTTCTCCCATAGAGTGGCTCGGTGGGTTTGAACTGTCAACTTTTCAGTAAGTAGCTCAGTGCTTAACCATTGCACCACCAGGCCTCCATAGACACACTCTATGAGACTAAACCATGAATTAGCTTGGCCTGGCTCCAGAGCCTCCACAGAGACCTGGCTTCTTGGGCAAGAGTGAAGAAACAATTCCATGTTACCCACTCACCTCCTCTCATCGCCCCACTTCAAGCCTGGGCAAACTAACTTCACACATTTCAAATAGTTCTCCAGTCTCTTCTGGGTCAGTGCTCTGCTTAGACTCCTTTGCAGAACTCTTCTTCCTACATGTGAAGCTGCATTGCTTGATGAGCTAGCTCAAGGCTCCCCTCCTTCCTGAGACCACCCCCACATTGTCCCGGTCCTCTGTGTTGGATGCCTCCTCTGCACACCTGCTGCATTAAATGTGTCCAGGACACACACTGAAGTTAGCGATGACAACAACAAGAGCAGCAATAAAAGCATCCGTCATTGACTGAGCACTTAGTAATGGCTAAGGAGCCTCAGTGGTGCTGTGATTAAAGGGCTCGCCTAACTGAAAGGTGGTTTGAATCCACCAGCTGCTCTAGGGAGAAAGATGAGACAGTCTGCTTCCATCAAGATGTACACACTTGGAAACCCTAGGTGCAGTTCTATTCTATCTGATAAGGTCACTTGGAGTTGGAATCTATTCGACAGCAATGGATTTGGGTTTTAGATTTAATGAGTCAGGCTCCATTCATTACATGTGGTAATATGCTTAAAACAACCACTGAGTCAAATACTAAGTTTTTTTTTTTTTTCTGAAAAAAGGATTTTTAGCCCCAGGTCATAGCTAGTAGGTAGTGGAAGCATGATTATAATCCGAGTCTATCTGATTGTACACTCTCCACGTCCTGTCTCCCCAGTGTGACTGTATACACATTGAGGCTGGGTTCATCTCATGCATCTGTCTTCCTCCACTGCTGGAAGGAGCACTCAATGTCTGCTGATGTCATGAGAAGGGGTGTAAAGTTTAGGACATGAACAGCAGGCACGGAGTTTGGGAAGGAGAGTTGTGTTCTAATTGTGCCTGGAATGTTAATGAGGAAACTATAGCCCATTAAACATAAAGCCTGAAATATGAGAATGACTTAATGTGTGTGCACGTGTTGTGTCATTAGTAGAGCACGTGACATGTAACCAAATTAGTATAGAAGACTTCAATGCCAAAAAAAGAAATTGCACACATAAACATGCTGTGGTTAATCAGAAGCAGACAACACATGTACATTTGAACATGTACTTTAGAATTCCACATACATTTGAACATCATAGATTTCTAGTCATTAGTGGTGAACAAAATGAGGAGTCATAATTTTTTATATTACATACCTTCTGGGATGCATTGTCCAAGGACAAACTTATACCCTTTGCAGCACTTTTTCCTAAGAGACAAACAAACAAAAAGTATTTTAAATGTTTAAAAGTATTTAAAATACGTTAGATTAAACTTATAAATGTTTTTAGCTATTGCTTTTGAAAGAAAGAAATTGTACTCAGGAAAAACTATGGCATAAAGCACAATAAGTGTGGAGGAGTTTTAAGTCAATCTGAGATTAAAAGGAATGATATTACCAGTATGACATAACCACATCTTCCAATACCAGGCTATCTTCCAGACTCCTGATGTATGAAGTTAACTCTTCCAGATTGTGGTATAAAGTCTACAGTTATGTGTTGCCCTGACATCTGGTAGAACTGGGATTGTCTCATGTGGCCTAACCACAAGTTCCCTTCCCTACTTTGCTCCTACAGATACGATACAGTCTCCTAGGCAAACAACCTTCCTTATTCAAATGGACCAGGTGCAGTTCCCGCTTATCTTTGAGTAGAAGGTTTCAGTTCTCCGCCAGCCCATAGAGTTACTCAAGCAAGCCAATCACACCCTCACATGGGAACTAGCAGGGCACCTGGCCCTCTTGATACTATGAAGTCTGCCTCCCACAGCTTCTGGTTGTTTCTGAGCGCAACCCCTGTGTGGAGTACAGCGTCCTTCTCTCTGAGCTTTCAGCATATGAGACTTATTAATAAGCTGCTGCTGATGTTATCTGGCCAGTGCTGGGTGGTATGTGTTTGGCTATTATCCCCATAACCCAAGAGTGGAAATCCCTCCCTCGCTAATGAGGTGAACAGGAAGCAATTAAAAAGGAAGCCCATGAAACAAGTAAAATAACTCTAAAACTTACAGATATTTATATTAAATAATTGACTCCCCAAACCCAAACTTATTGCTGTTGAGTTGATTCTGTCTCACAGTGATCCTACAGGACACAGTAGAACAGCCCCACAGGGTTTCCAAGGCTGTGAATCTTTATGGAAACAGACTGCCCCATCTGTCTCCCACAGGGCATCTTGTGAGTTCAAACCATCGACCTTTTGGTTAGCAGCCAAGTGGTTAGTCACTGTGCCACCAGGGTTCCTTAAATAAGTGCAGGCCAACAGAATATAAATATTGTGGACTTTTGGAAAAGACTTTGGAAGCTGGCCATTGCCCTCGTTCTACACATGCCTCGCTGAAGTCTCACAGGGAGATAATTTTTATCAGGACTGGGACTGGAACCCAAGTATTCTGATTCCCATTCTAAAACCAAACCAAACTCACTGCCGTCGAGTCCAATCTGACTCATAGTGAACTCTCCTTGGTTTTCCCAGGAGGTATCACTACGGAAGTAGATTGCCCAACCTTCCTTCTGAGGAGTGGCTGGTGGGTATGAACCACCAGCCTTCTGGTTAGCAGTCAAATGCCTTAGGCACTACGTCCCATTACAGCACTCTTTTTACATCTGCACATAAGGTGCTGAAAGGTACCAAAATGATCTGAACCAAAAAACAGCAAGCTGGAAATTCCTAATATAAATACTCAAGGGTTCTATCTCCTAAGATAGAGAAATGGTGGCATGAGATAAAAATTCAGACCTCCACGGGAGAGATGATGCTTATGGTATGGAGTTGTAAGCTTCTGACAGATGAGCCCTCCTGCCGCTGACAGCTATAAACTCTGGGCAAAAGGGAAGATCACTACCTGAAGGCTCTGAACTGTGACTACAAGCAGACGGGTTTTGGAGGGGAGCTGAAATGTTGGACAAGGAACACGGGGAGTCTCCTTCTTTGAGAGCCTCAGTCTGAGGGCAGGTCATAGTTGCCGCGTCCTGTGGGGAAGTGAAACTCTGGTCGAACCTGCAGTATATCTGACCTGCTCAAACAGAGGACTGCCTGAGCAGTCAGTGCTGCAAGGCATAAGAGGAAATCAGAAAGGAGCATGCTGGAGAAGTAGAGCCCTCATTATCTCCCTAAAATTTAGAAACGTAAGTCTGTAATTTATACACTTTATATAAAAAACCCATAGCTGTCAAGTCAATTTCGACTCATTGCAACCCTACCGGACAGAGTAGAAGTGTTTCACAAGCTTTCCAAGGTTGTAATCTTTACAGAAGCAGACTGCTATATCTTTCTCCTGCAGAGCGGCTGGTGGATTTGAACGAGGGCTTGGAACTAGTTCATTCTGGTTCAACCCTCTGCTAAGAGTTTGTGCTTTCATCCCAGATGCACTGAATCAAAATCGGGATCTGATTCCCAGTCAATGCAATGTGCAGCCCCACCGTCTGTCACCCTCTGTCAGTGGAGGCCTGAACATGGCCACAATGCTGAACAGGTTTTATCGGAGCTTCCAGACTAAGATGAGCTGGGAAGAAAGCCCTGGTGATCTATTGCTGAAAACCAGCCCATGAAAACCCTATGGATGACAATGGTCCAATCTGCCACCCATCACAAGGATGGCATGGGACCAGGCAGCGTTACGTTGCATTGTGCATGGAGCTGCCACGAGTCAGGGGCTAACTTGATAGCAGCTAACAGCTATATATATAGTGTTGCTGTTGTTGTTGTGTGCCGTTGAGTCGTCTCCGACTCATAGCACCCCTCCTTGGGTTTCTAAGGTGGTATCTCTACGGAAGTAGATAGCCCAATCTTCCTTCCGAGGAGTGGCCAGTGGGTTTCAACTGCCAACCTTCTGGTTAGCAGTCAACTGCCTTCGGCACTACACCACCAGACCTCATACACACACACACACACACACACACATACACACAGACATATATATATACATATATATATGTATATACACACACACGCACATACCAAAAGACAAACCCACTGTCATAGGGTAGTATCTGACTCATAGCGACCCTCCTTGGGTTTCTGAGGCAGTATCTCTATGGAAGTAGACTGCCCAATCTTCCTTACGAGGAGTGGCTGGTGGGTTTGAACCACCAGCCCTATGGTTAGCAATCAAATGCCTTAGGCACTATGCTACCGAGCTCCTATATATACACACACAGACATACACAGACACATACACACACACACACACATGATTACTATATTTCACTGATATGAATGATGGGTGACAATGTCCAGTGTTTTCCCAGCAGACATCATTTTCCAACATCTCAGCTAAATTACCATTTCATATGACAAGAGAAGCCCTTGGGGAATAAATCTATGCTGATTATTTGTAACAGTGGTAGAGGAGCTACCTCCAGTCCACGAAACTGAAACCCTGCTATGAAAGTCCCAGCCCCCAACCACCAAAAGAAAACTGGTTTAAAAGAGTGTGATGAAAATGCTATGGTTACTTACTGTATTACTCAAGGCTGCCCCACAGAAACTATGAGGAAGAACATTTCACAGGATGATCTGAAGCTCAAGTGATGCACAAGAAGCTTGGATAAGGAAGAAGCATGTGTTTTTGATGCTCATGTCTAAAGTCTCACACCACATTGAGACATATGGTTCTATTTGTCAGTTTCTATTTAAATGACATATCTAAGGTATAACCTCTGAGGTGTTCGATGGCATTTTCAAGTTCGTACAAATGGATGCAATCCTTGCAACCTCTCTTTCCACATCCAAGATATTAAACTTGGGACGGTTCACACAGTGAAGCGGAAGGAAGCTGCCATTTGCCTTCTGAAGAAATGTCATGATAGTGACAAGTTTCGGTATGCTCTCAGAAAGCTCTGAGGTTCAGTCAGGAGAAAATCCGAGCTTCTGGATGAAAATGCTTCATCCATGTACCTGCTTACCTAAGGATTAACTTCCCCTTTGTGTTTTTTTCTTAATTGCAAAAGTGACCCCAACTCTCCGCTTGAAGGATGTGGTTCTGAGACTCTAGGGCACCTTCCTGCCTTCCCCTGGGGGCCTGGAACTATGTCATTCTCTTTCATGTTAAACACCCATCAATCATAAAGCACCATTTAAAATAAATTATGAGATATTCCAAAGTATAAGGCATAAACATTGGCTGCACACTTTACTGCACATCTTACACCATTTCAGAGGTTACTTATGGCATCATTTATGTTATCATGAAGCTAGGAGAGCAACAGGGAGATCTCCTTCTTGTTATGCAAGCCTGCGTGTGGGTTAGATTCAACTACAAACTTGGCCGTGTGGTTTTCATCTTCAAGAAAAACAAACTGAGATGAGGAAAGTTCCCATGTGTATGAGCGACACAGTCATTCCTAATAAACTTCATGTGTCAGAGCGTTTTCCAAATGCAAACACTTTTCTCTTTTCTTGGCAAGGGGAAGTGGTGACTGGATGGTTGTCACATAGAAAGGGTGACATCTGGCATTCAGGAAAGTCTCTGGACCTTCCCCCCATGTGCCCAGAGTGTTAATACACGTAGAAAAGCATAAGAAAAATGGTGCAGCCAGAAACAGATCCTATGAGCCGGGTGTGTGTGCGAGAGCTTCTAAAAGGAAAAACTAAGTCAAGAGAAAAGTCAAAATACCATTATCAGATTGTCAGCTGGTTGCTAGTTACTAGGTTCTAGAACAAAAATTAAATAAATAAAAACAAAAACTGCCTACAGTTCTAGAAGGGAACTTGGAGGGTTAAGAGAGTTAGCAGACAAGAAATGGAACTTTGCTCCATTGCAAGGGTAAATTTCTAAGATTTACTTGGGGTTTCCCTTGCACGGTTGTCTCCACCGATACCTAGGTGTGCACCAGATATATCAGAGATTTTTAAAAATAAGAGAAAGAGCTGCATTGTTCACAGTAATTTCATTCTTGGTGCCAAGCAGATCTGGTTAAAATTTGGGGTTCCTCATTTAAAGAGCTAAGGATATGACCTTGGGTTGGCTTCTTAACCTTATTGAGGTTCAGGTTCATCATGGATAACATGTAGATGGAAATTATTGTCTTACGGGGTTATTGCAAGTATTATACGTAGAAATGGACGGTACCTAGCATGGTACCTGGGGCAGAAGAGTGTTCTACTTGCAGCTTCATGGTCATAGCAAGCAAACAGCAAGAACAACCCTCCACAGTGGCGTTGACCTTGTGACTCATTTCTTTCTTCTAATTCTTCCAACTCAATG